TTTTTAGTGGGTTTTTTGATAAAATTTAAACGGGGTATTTTTAAAAAGAGGTATATGAAAAGGGGTATTTTTGAAATTCCCCCTAAATTTTAATGGTTATTTTACCCCTAGTTGAAAAAATATTATTTCCCAAAGGAAGGAATATTCCTTCCAAAAATTTTTAACCCAAAAACTTTCCCGCCAAAATTTTTCCAGCAAAAAAATTTCCGAGATAAATTATCCCGCCAAAAAGTTTTCCGAGAAATTTTTCCCACCAAAAAAATTTCCGCAAAAATTTTCCCGCAAAAAATAATTATTTTTAGAAACTTTTCCCGCCAAATATTTTAAAGGGTTTACAAGATTTTTTAAAGGGTCTTTGAAAGGGTTTACAAGGGTTTTTAAAGGGATTTACAAGAGTTTTTAAATAGTTTTAAAAAGATTTGTAATGGTTTTTAAAGGGTTTTAGAAGCTTACAAAGTTTTTTAAATGGTTTTTAAATGATTTACAATGATTTTTAAAAGTTTTTATAAGTTTATAACATTTTTAAACGGATTTACAAGGATTTTAAAAGGATTTTAAAAATTTACAAGGATTTTTAAAGGTTTTTAAAAAGGATTTACAAGTGTTTTTAAAAGTATTTACAAGTGTATTTAAAGGCATACAAAGATTTTAAAATAGTTTTAAAGGATTTACAAGGGGTTTTAGAAGTTTACAAAGGTTTGTAAAGGGTTTAAAAAAGGTTTTAAATGTATTACAAGTTCTTTAAAATGGTTTTAAGGATTTACAAGGGTTTTTAAAGGGTTTTAGAAGTTTATAAATGCTTGTATTAAATGATTTATCACGGTTATAAGGGGTTTAAAGGGATTTACAAGTGTTTATAAATGTTATAAAATGATTAGCAATGATTTTAAAAGGTTTACTCAAGTTTTGAAAGGTTTTGGATGACTTTTAGGGGGTGTTATTGGATAAAGGTATTTAATGGATTTAAATTACTAAATGGATTTTAAAATTTGATGGATTTCTAATACATTGAACGTGGATTTGGTATTATTATGTGGATTTGAAATACATCACTAATGGATTTGAAAGTTAGTAATAGTGGATTTTATAATTTTTCCAGTTAAATAAAAATGCAATATTTTAGGCTATTTCTTTGTTAAATCAAACTAAAAAAAATCTAAAGAAAAAAAATCATTTGAATCAGAAGAATTTGGGTTTGTTGAATTAGATCGACAAGGTTTTTAACATTAGAGCCAAAAATGGATTTTTCGTAAATCAAAACTTAGATCCATAAAAACCAATTAGAAAAATGTTTTCTATGTATAATGGTAGTTTCTGATTCTGATCTGGTTTTTATAATTTTTCAGAAATCTGGGATTTGTTTAATTTCTTCTTTACACCATGTTAAAGATGAAGAAGAAACATAACATCCTCCTTTGTGCTTCTACCTGGAGTAAATCTGGAGTAAAGATCTAGAATTTTTTTATTAAGAGAGAAGAAGAGACTGAGAAGAATAGAGAGAGAAAGAGAAAGAGAAGGAGGAATAGAAATATTTAGAATACGTGAGAAAATATATTGGATTTTGTTTGTTCATATTTTTAGAATGAAATACAATGAAATCTGAAATGATACCAAATCACTTGCACATTGAATAACAGTGTTTTCAAAGTATTTTAAAATACATCAAACAAATACATAATCCAATAACACTGGATTTTAATGTACTTTATAAATTACCTAATTGAATAACGACTGATTTCAGAATCCATTCAATTCTTTTAAAATACACAGTTCAATAACCCCCTCTTAAAAGATTTACAAGGTTTTTTAAAGGATTTTTTTAGGGATTTAAAAATATTTATAAGGTTTTTTAAAAGATTTTTGAAGGAATGGCGGAAAAATTTTGGCTGAAATTTTTTGGCGGGAATAATTTTGTCGGAAAATTTTTGGAGAGAATTTTTTTTTGGCGGGGAAATTTTTTCGGCGGGGAAATTTTTTTGCGGGAAATTTTTTGGTAGAACAATTTGGCGGGAAATTTTTCGGAAGAAATATTCTTTTTGTTGGAAAGAATATTCATTTCTTCATCATGGGTTATAATAAAAAGGGTAATTTAGTCATTTTGTACATAGAAGAGGGTATTTTTGAAAATGGACACCTAGAGAGGGTATTTATAGAAAAAGGTATCATAAAAAGGTTAGTTGTGCAAATCCCCCAACTTTTATATGGTTAATAAGGTACATCAAGATCATCATTACTACTGGGACACTGAATCCAAATATTTATAAGGTTTTCAAAGGTTATAAACGACATTTATAAGGTTTTTATAATGTTTTTATAAGGTTTACAAAGTTTTTGTAAGGTTTTTAAATGATTTTTAAAAGGTTTTTAAAAGGTATTTATACGGTATTTATGAAAAATATATATAAATTTACACAAATATAAAGATAATTTGTGTCTATAAATATAAGCATACACATATTTTTTTTGCTAAATTTCAAATTTTATAGTGACCTTTTGATAAAATTAGAAAGAGAGATATTTTTAAAAAGTGTTTTTGGAAAATGGTATTTTTGAAATTCTCCCAAAAAAAATATGACAATATATAAAGAGCTAATATAACAAATAAAAATAACTAACAAAAACATAACAAACCAAAATAAATAGATAATAAACAACAGATCGCCAAATCAATAAATAAAAAATACAACAATTCGCGCGAAATCCACAAATTATTCTCAAATTTTTGACCAACATATTAAAAAGACCCAGAATATTACATCATCTAGATCTATGTTTGGTGGGAGCTTTAATAACATATTTTTTTTACAATTCTCCATAACACTTCCGTTTACGCATACACATCGATTTATACTATACACACCTAATTTCTCAACTATTATCAAAACTAAAATAAAATAGATTTTCTATACAAACACAACATGAGATATAAATTAAAAGTATGCTATAGTGGAGAAAATGAGTAGGAAATAAAATACGAATCAATTACTCATAAACAACGTAATAAAACTCCCATGCTACTAGTATTTTAAATAAAATTCACAAAAATTAACTATTTAAACTAATACAATTTTATACAGGACATTCTTCAAATTTTCTTACTATCTATATTAATATTTTTGAAGTACACTTTGTAAATCAAACATTTGCTTTAGTAGCTATTGATAATGAATGTTGTTTTTTCTTACTACAAGAAATATCTATATTGATAGCACATGAGGATAGCTCATTTTACGTAATTGCTATAAAAAATTTAAAAAAACTAACTTTTTTGTTACTATAGAGCACTAAAAAACACTAAGATAAAAAATCACTAAATATGTTGCTAAAATTATTTGTGCCGCCAATATTTTGAAGAAAAATTCACTTAAACGCCATATTTCAGATCCAAAAATTTTCGTAATATTTTATAGCGAACAAATAAAAAAAGTTACTTTTTCTCTGTTTAATAAAAACATAAAAAAATTCCCCAACTTTAAACCTAGTTCCTTCGGTGATGCCTTAGACTTCACTATGAAGCCTCCACCATGATCAAATTTGTTATTCCGAGCGCGAGACCGAAGACGCCAATGGAGACAACACCATTCGTAACAAGGATTGTGACCGAGATCAGGACTGAGAAAGGGATCACGACAGGGAGAGAGATAGAAAAACAGAGAAAGAGAGCAAGGGAGAGAACCGAATTCAAGAAATAGAGGTACGGAGCTAAGGCTTTTGAGAAGGCAAGGGTTGAGAAATTAGTTGAGAGGGAGAAAGAAGGAACACGTCGTCATTAAGCAAATAATCAAAACCTATTAAGGTTAAATTTTAGAAAACACCTACCGGATTGGGTCAAATTGAAATCTGTAACCCACAATCATGTTATTTGATCTTTTTTAATTATCTGAGTCGTTAAAATGTAGATCATTTGGTAATATTCCGAAAAACCACATTAATGATGTGACTCCCCAACTGTCGCTCTTATTAAGTCACATGTTCATTTCTGTTTCATGGGCCTAACTCTTTAAGTGGGCCTCACGTATTTATACTAAAACGGTTTGCTACATCTAGAAGAATTTAAAGACTTATGTATCAATCCTACAAATCACTACGCATCTTTCGGGCGATTTTGACAGTCACTTCTCATAAGATCAAATGTCACATATCATACAACTATAATCCAATATAAGCATGTTTAACTATAGAGTTCTGTCGTTGATTGACGAAATCAATTATTTTAAACCTTTGTGTATACACCATTATTTTTCTTGAACCGGTGTGTTATAATTGTTGGAAAAATTAAAACAAAGATTAAAACTGAATATGACGAAGAAAGTTACCATACACAAAGAAAGAACATGACCAAACAAAAAAAAAACAAGAAAAAATAAACAAATTCACCGCACTTATGATTCTTATCCAAAAAATTCCTATGATTGGTATATTTATGTTTTTTTTTGAATATATTATGTTAATTAACCCAATTAGCAAATCGATATATAATTAGTTCTTGAATTTAAATATAAAAAGTTACAATATAATTAATTTTTTTAAAAATAAGCCACTGCAATCAAAAATTTAATTTAGAAAACTGGTACATTTTTTATTGTCGTCACTAAACTGGAACTTTAGATCAAAGTTTCATTTTATTCACTAGAATTTTTTTTTCATTTCACTAGAAATTTACAAAATTCATCATTAAAGATATAATATTTTATTCATTCGTATTAATTCAATGTAATATATTTTCCATACGTTGAACGTGTGGTACACAAGTTTTACAATATTTTTAAATCTAGAGGCCAGGGACCGTTTAATCATAAATTAATTTTTAAGTAAATTTTCTTATTAATTGTTATTTCAAGAAACAACAATGCTTAGTCATGGAAACACGTGTCAATAAAAGAGTGATTGCTCAAAGGTGAAGCAACTCCCGCGACTTATTTGGAATCAGTTTAGCATTCTCATCAGATCTCTCTATATGTTTTTTTTTTAAAAAAACAAATCATAATACTAAACGAGAAAAGAAACAATGGCGATAGATGCAGGAGCAGAATCGATTGCTACGGTCGCTGAGAAAGCTCCTGTCACGGCGGAGAGGAAAGTTCGTACTGATCTCGATGATTATCTCCCCAAGCCTTGTTCGTATATTTCCTTTATCTTTTGTTCATCTTTTATTATTTTCATATCGACTAAAATTCAGAATTTGATCTAAAACATTAATAGTAAAAAAATAAATTTGGTTTTAAATACAATTTTATATACATTAAAAAAACAAAATACGATTTTTTAAATAAATTACAAAGTTTATTTTTATATTTCATAAAATATGTTAGCGGATGATCAAACTTATAAAATTTTCTTGTACAAATTTAAAAATCTTGGTAATTAAAGAATTTGTGTTTTTTGTATTGAATTTCATGATTTATTGAATATATTTGAATATTCAATAAAATTTAGACATTTTATCCATGAACATATTCATCATTTTTGCTAAGTTCATGGTTTTTTTTTGTTATCGTTTTTCGGGTTTTAAAATTAATAAAATTATAATTGGATTTATTCAGTTTCCAAAACCTTCTATTAGTTCTCATTTCGTCTTTGGAAATGAAATCGGTATACTTATAAGATTATGTCCTGAATATTTTATTTGCTGGATTAAAAAAAACAGATCTGCCTCGAGCAATGGTTGCACCAGACATGGAAAACGTGAATGGCACAAGGGGACACAAGCACCAGGACATGTCTGTTCTTCAACAACATGTCGCTTTCTTTGACCAGGACAGTGATGGAATCATCTATCCATCAGAAACATTTAGAGGTATCTACTATATTTTTTAATGAAAAATTAAGTATTAAGATCCTTCATACTGAACCTATAGTCTCTTTTGCATTGTTCAGGATTTAGAGCCTCGGTTTCAACGTGGTTTCTAGTTTCTTTCTAACAGTTATTGTGCATCTTACAATGAGTTACGCCACATTGCCTGTAAGTTTATTCAAGATTTTAAGTTATTGTCTTAATTTGATCTCTTTAGGTTTCTCTGAAGATGTCTTTTAGTCCTTTTTGGTTATTCTCAAGATGTCTTCTTTGTTTTCTTGTTCGAAAAACCAGACTTGGATGCCTTCGTTCTCTTTCCCGATTTACATCAAGAACATCCACAGAGCAAAACATGGAAGTGACACCTCAACTTATGACACTGAAGGAAGGTTTGTCTCTCAGTTAACCTTTGTCCATGATGATACTTTTGGCTTTTGTGGTGGTTATAAATGTTGAAATCATCAGGTACATACCTGCAAATCTAGAGAACATGTTTAGTAAGTACGCACGTACGGTGCCTGACAAGCTAACCCGTTTTGAGCTGTGGCAAATGACTGAGGCTAACCGTAATGCATTCGATTTCTTTGGCTGGTCAGGTCCCATCTTTTTCTCTTTCTAATGGCTTTTTCTCTATTTGTCTCTTAACTGTGTAAAAATGGAACAGGGCAGCAAGTAAAATGGAGTGGGGAGTGCTGTATTTTCTGGCCAAAGACGAGAATGGTTACTTATCCAAAGAAGCGGTTCGGAGATGCTTTGACGGGAGCTTGTTCGACTACTGCGCCAAGGCAAGAGCTTCAGCTAAAAAGACTGAATGATTGATGGCACGCGTATACCAGTTTCTTGAGTTTTAGTCAGTTTTAATATCTTAAGTACGTAACCTTTTTAAAATATCTTAATCGAAACACGAATCAGTTCATTAATTAAGATGGTAAATTTTAATTTGCTAGCCAAATTTCTCATCTACGTAAATGGTTCTTTTAGTTTTAGGACTTTCCTGAAGGCCGGAGGGATGTCCAGATTCTCAATGTGTCACTATGTTCTATGTGTTTGGATATTTTCAAGACACTCGACCTGACATGAAACTTGGCCATGCATATGTGAAGTTTGTCGAATTATTGACGAATATAGTGCAAATGGCATGAAACTTGGCCATGCATATGTGAACCCTAGTTTGAGGCAAATTCAGTTCAAAGGGGAGACAAAAAGATAAGAAAAATGTAGGTGAATTTCATCTCGCTTCTCTTATTCAACTTAAAGAACTATAGTAAAAATAAAATCCTTGAGAATAATCTTTATACTAGGTAGTAATCCGTGCCACGGCACGGCGATTCTGTTAAGTAAATTTCTATGTTTATGGTATTGATAAATATGATTATCACGTTCGTAATTTTATATGAAGGTCCGCTGATCGTATGGATCTTGTAGGTGGCATCGGGTCCAATACTTGTTACAAATGACATTTAGTAGCCTATAAATGTTTAAATTTTCTGTCATGATCACTTGATTTAGATAATGACATATTTAAACTTTTTAAATGACACAATTATATTGAATTCAATGTTTAAAGGTTTTTCAATCAAATTCAAACAAACCTACTAAATTTTAAAAATAGTTCAGAACATAGAGAAAAAGGTTTACAAAACATGGGATAATAAAACAGAAATATTAAAATATTAATCATCATCCTCATCGCTAGGTGGTTGCCAAGTATACTGAGCCAGTCCTTCAATTCCCCTATATGTTCAGAAAATCACATTATTGAAAATGGATACTCCATTGGGTTTGTTTCAATGACACTATAAAAATATAAGTAATGTAAGTGTGTATAAGTTTGTATACTACTAAAATAACAGAAACATAAATAAACTTACAGTAAAGTGCCTAGATGCATTTCGTCATACTCTTTGTCCAAAAAAATTCTAGAAGATCCATATTGAGACATAATACATGGATTACCTATTCAATAAAGAGAACCAAGTTTCTGGAGATTTCCTTATACATTCATTATTGCATACATAGAAATTTAAAGTTTGTGGATAAGCTTACTTACCTTCAAATTCAGTAATTCTCCAGAAACGAAGAACACACATTATAGGTCTATCCACAAAGGTTGACTCGAACAAAAGATTTGTCCACTCTTTGTGAAATCCTAGCAGCTTTACCTACAGCCACACATTGGATTTCTTTCTTTCTAAAATTTTTTCAAAATATTAGGGGACACTTAAAGAGAAATTAATCGTTGTATATATATGATGAATAAAATTAAATTGAAATTCAGTTTACGTTTCATATGTCAAGGTAAATGTGACAACAGTTTCAGCATTTGCATAACCATATTCCCCATCAACAAAATTAATTTCGCGCATTTCAGAAACTTCTGACAAAAGACCACTTGCATATGTATTGAGATAGTAACACATTATCACATAATTAAACTAAAAATCAATTATAGTGGAATACAGTTTTAGTATATAAGGAATTTAATGAAGAAAAAACTATAAAAAACACATACCAACACAGTATTTTTGGTCCTCTTCATGAGCAAAGTCAATTTTTATTGCAGAAGTGAAGTTGAAAAACTCACTATCTATTATCGTAGGCACATGATGCATAGTTTTCCTAGGCACCATTGTTATTGTGAGATGATTGGATGATATTGCTGCAGACAGGGAAGAATTCTCTACCTTCTCTATAACTCTTATTTCTCGTAACCTAAATGTAAAAGCGGATTCTCTGGCGCGAAATGTTCGCACCATTCCGTCTTTGGTTAAGTATGTAAACAGTTGTCCTTTAAGTTGGCTCGTATGAGCTAATTTCTTTCAATGTTGACCAAAAAAAAATATAGAGTCTCAACCTCTACATTAGTATCTGGTTTTTTTTTTTTTTATTTTTTTGACGGCCATTAGTATCTGGTTCCATTAATTTCGTATTCTGATTTTGTTGTTGTTGGTGTAGCTCATATTTTTGATAATATGATTTTCTTTTATTTTGCGTTTTTTGAATTATTTGTATTATTTGAATTGCTTATCATTTGTTTATGTTTTTCTTATTTCATTCGAGATTATATTTGTGTTTTTAATAGTGTTGTATTATTTTCTGTGTTTTAATTGTTTAGTGCAATTTTAACTTTTTTCTTTCTTATGGTTTATGTAATAGGAGTATTGTCCATATTGGGATCTCTGATCGGGAAATTCTTAAAATATAGTAATTGGAGATGATGTTAGGCTGATGATGCTAAGTTAAAAACCACAATTCGATATCTTTATTTGTTTTTTTATTATTTATTGATATCTTGGTTAGTTACTTTGTTTGTTGTTTTTATGAAATTTGGTATGAGTATTTTTGAAACATAAAACTAAGTTATGGTAGAAAAGCATATAATTTCGAATTTAAAATTTTAGATGGTCGATGTTATTTTGAGTAGTTAATTTATTAATCGTCAATCATAAATAGTTTTCACAAAATTATATCGAATATACCCACGCATAGCGTGGGTTCAAAACCTAGTCTATACTATATAAAAGTTGAAGCTATAAGCTCCTAAAAGCGTCCACATATGATTTTAAACGACCAATCGAGATTAGACATCTCAATATTTAATATTTTTTAAATTACGATAATTTCTTTATTAAGTGTTTTAGTAAAAAGGAAAATAATAAGATATATGGACACTAAAGATATATATCTTTATTAATTTTTTTAGTAAAAAGGAAAATAATAAGATTTTAATTTTTGCTAAATTTAAAAACGAAAATACTGAGTTGTTTCATATAAAATTATTTAATAATTTATTGTGAGTATTGTGTTTGAGTAAAATCTATTAAGAACACTTAAACTTTTAAAACGTTTTCAAAATATTTTAAATATTTTAAACTTTATTTGTAACTAACAACCTTTCCGTCTTACAACCCATACCGTCATATAATTCCAAAAAAAAAAACTCATGTTTATTGTTCCATCATTCGTAGTTGGAAGGCTATGATCTTATTTATAAAGATTCTGAAACATAATAAAAAAAAAACTTATATATAATGTGGGATGTTGTACATATGCTAAAAAATGGGTAATATTCATCCGTTTAAAAAAATTCAAATTGCAATATACGAAAACAAATTTGTATCTTTATCAAACATATGTTTTATGTAATAAAATAAAGTAATAAAATAAAATTTAAAACAAATAAGATCATATAAAGATTTTGTTGAAATATTTGAGAAAAGTTAGAAAATAAGAATTGAAATTATATATATTAGGGAGAGATTTTAAGAAATTTTTTAAAAATACTTATTATTAGTTTTCAAAGTTTTAATTAAATAATAAATATCAGTGGCATTTTTGTAAATATTTTGGAAGTCTAGGATTTATTTCAATGCTAAAAGTATCTATACTATTAAAAGGGGATCATTTTTTACAAGTGTAAGCCAAACAGAATTAAACAGAAAAATTACATTTTATGTAATTATAAACGTATAACCAAATAGGATTAATGACTGCAGAATAAATTATTTTAGTAACAAATAATTCAGGATACCATTAAAAAGGAAACAATATAATATCCAGAAAATAAATTTGTAACAAACAATCTCTTATTTAATCATTTAGGAAATCTTTTAATATAATTCAAATTATATAAAAGAAACAGTTAACAATATTTAGTCACAATTAGTGTTAACCATAACTAATATAAAAAACTAAATACTTTGTAATATTTAAAAAATATTTTTAAATTATAAAAAAAATTAAAGGAAATCATAAAAAAAAAAAATTTGCTTTAATTTTTGTAATTGAGCCACTTAATTGATAAAATTCCCCAGCGTAAAAAAAGGAAATCATAAAAAATCTAAATCCCCCTACAATTACTATTATCCGTAACTAATAATACAAAGCAATAGAACAAACTTCATACCATTTACCACGCTTTAAAATAGGTAACATAATTTTGCGTTTATATATATATATATATATATTATTTTTTTTTTGTCAAACAATTTTGCGTTTATATAAATAATCGATTTTATATCATAGATATTAATCATTAAGTTCAAAACTAATAATATGAAAATAATTTAAGGGAGATTTGCACAACTAACCTTTATTATGATACCCTACTCTACAAGTACCCTCTCTAGGTGTTCATTTTCAAAAATACTCTATTCAATGTACAAAATGACTAAATTACCCTCTTTTATAACCCATGATGGAAAAGGAATATTCTTTTTGGAAAGAATATTCCTTCTGAAAAATTTCCCGCCAAATTTTCCCGCAAAAAAATTTCGGCAAAAATTTTCCCGCCAAAAAATTTCGACAAAAAATTTTCCGCCAAAAAAAATTTCCCGCCAAAAAATTTCCGACAAAAACTTTCCCGCCAAAAATTTTTCCGCAATTTCTTAAAAAAACCTTGTAAATATTTATAAATCCCTTAAAAAATCCTTTAAAAACACTTGTAAATCTTTTAAAAGTCTTCCAAAACCTTTCAAAACTTGAGTAAACCTTTTAAAACCATTGTAAATCATTTTATAACATTTATAAACACTTGTAAATCCCTTTAAACAACTTATAACCGTGATAAATCATTTAATAAAAACTTTTGTAAACTTCTAAAACCCGTTAAAAACCCTTGTAAATCCTTAAAACCCATTTTAAAGAACTTGTAATACCTTTAAAAACTTTTGTAAACCCTTCAAAAACCTTTGTAAACTTCTAAAACCCTTTAAAACTTCTTGTAAATCCTGTAAAACTATTTTTAAATCTTTGTATGCCTTTAAATATACTTTTAAATCCTTTTAAAAAACCTTTAAAAATCCTTGTAAATTTTTAAAATCCTTTAAAAATTCTTGTAAATCCTTTTAAAACTGTTATAAACTTATAAAAACTTTTAAAACCATTGTAAATCATTTAAAAACCATTTAAAAACCTTTGTAGGCTTCTAAAACTCTTTAAAAACCATTACAAATCTTTTAAAAACCATTTAAAAACTCTTGTAAATCCCTTTAAAAGCCCTTGTAAACCCTTTAAAAGACCCTTTAAAAAATCTTGTAAACCCTTTAAAAAAATTTGGCGGGAAAATTTTGAAAAAATAATTTTTTTTTGCGGGAAAATTTTTGCGGAAATTTTTTGGCGGGAAAATTTTCTCGGAAAAATTTTTGGCGGGAAAATTTTTCTCGGAAACTTTTTTGGCGGGAAAA